ATTGTTAAACTACCTCTATGCATTATAGCTACATTTTCCATTCATCATGTGACTAATAGTACTGTTGAACACATACTGTATATCGGGGCATCAGTGCTGGAGGGGATGACTTCTTTTCTCTTCCCATAACCACTGTTAGAGTTCCCTCCTTTCTTGCTTTTCTTCCCACATTGACTCCCTTCTTGCTGCTAGTCTCCTTAAGAGACATGCCTCCCCCATTTAGGCCTCACTTTAGCAAACTGTGGAGTCCATGCAGCAATGATTGCATCTTCTCAGCTTCATATAGCCCATTTCTCACAACAAAGGAAAAATAATCTCTTCCTCCAGCTTCTGCTTCTGCACATCATAATAAAAAAATAAAATCCATTCTGTTTTCCTTTAAACGTTTGTACAGTTCAGTCTGTAGCAGTAACAAAGCTTGGAATGCAATAAAATACAAATGGAATATACTGTATGACACAACTTTTTCTAAACTAAAAATGTTAAAACAAATTTGCATATTATATATTTTTTAAACCCAGAGAATAAAGTAACCACATGTTTTTTAATTAAGGTGCACATTTCTAGTTTGAAGTCAAATCTGCTTCTCAATGCTAATAATGTATTTTTTAAGACATTGCACAATTCTCTTTATTTAGTAAAATTTCATAATGAAACCTAGGCATATGTATTGAGCTTTTGATTCAGGCATAGCAGGGGCACACCAATCTACCCCACTGCCTCTTGTGGTAATGTGGTGATCTGTGAACCTTTTTAGTTAACATGTTTTGTGATGTAGAAGTGAAGTCACTGGACATTCTTTTCTGTAATACCTGTGAATGCTTGACTTCTTGGGGGCTGATACCTTTTTATTTGTTTATAAATAACAAAGTTTGAGATTAAAAATACAGTTTTTTTTCTAATGATACAAAGCTATGTAGTGGAATAAAGTCCCTACAAGATTTCACTAACTTGCAAGCTGACCAGGAAGCACTGGCTAATGCCACCACATGGCAAATTATGTTTTATGGAGATAAATATAATGTTATGCATTTAGAGGCTAAAACACGTCTAAGAGAGTAAATCTGGGTTAATCAATTATAGAGAAGGAGCTTGGTGTCCTAGTAGATCAGAGATTTAAACAATAAGTGCATTTATCCTTTTTACCCCCTTCTCGTGACCTAACATAACCTACCCTCCCCCTTAGCCCCATCACAGATTCATACTTATTTTGATTCCTCAGCTGCAGATCCACTGTTTAACATCTAGCAGTGCAACTCTTCACTGTTCTGGCCACACTTGTGAATTAGTACTCCATAGACATTTGTCTATATAACTGGAGTCTGGAGGTCATTGGAGATGGTCCTATGGAAGTTTATGGAATTGTAATGTGCAGGTACAGACAGTGAAGACTTACATAGTTGCATAGTTACATAGTTATAGTTAGTCAGGTTGAAAAAAGAGTCCATCGAGTTCAACCTATAGAGATATGAAAAAAAAAGCTTAAACTGAACGCTATGCCCACAATTACCCACTGTTGATGAACAGGGGAAAACAAATCCTTCTTGATCCCATAAGGCAATTGGATATTTCCTGGATCAACAATCTATGATGCCTAAGAATTCAATATCCGGTAATATTCTGTACATTTAGGAATACATCCAGATTTTTTTTTTTAAATTAACTGAGCTAGCCAGAACTAGCTCCTGGGGAGTATGTTCCACATTTTCACAGCTCTAACTGTGAAGAATGCTTTCTGTTTGCAAAGGTTAAACCTCTTTTCCTCCTGATGCAAAGAGTGCTCCCTTATCCTTTGCAGTGACCTTAAAGTGAAAAATTTGGCACCAAGCTCACTAAATGGACCATTTATGTATTTATACATGGTGATCATGTCCCCCCTTAATCACCTCTTCTCCAGAGAGAACAAATTCAGGTCAGCTAATCTTTCCTCATAGCTGAGCTCCTCCATGAGTTTAGTCGCCCTTCGCTGCACTTTCTCCAGTTCCACAAAATCCTTTTTGTAAATTGTTGCCCAAAACTGAACTGCATATTCCAGATGGGATCTTACTAATGCTTTGTGCAGGGGCAGGATTATGTCACTGTCTCTGGAGTCTATACCCCTTTGAATACAAGAAAGTATTTTGCTTGCTTTAGAAACTGCAGCTTGACATTGCATGCTATTAATGAGTTTATGATCTACCAGAACACACAGATCTTTCTCCATCATTGACTCCCCAAACATACTCCCCTAGAGTGTGACACATGCATGTTTTTAGTCCCCAAGTGCAGAACTTTACATTTATCAACATTAAACCTCATTTGCCAAATAGATGCCCAATCACACAGTCCATTCAGATCTGCTTGTAAGTTGAAGACATCCTATAAGGACGGTATTCCACTACATGACTTGGTGTCATCTACAAACACAGAAATAGTACTTTTAATCCCCAACTCTATATCATTTATAAATAGATTAAACAGTAAGGGGCTCACCACTGAACCTTGGGGGACACCACTAACAACCTCGGACCATTCGGAGTATGAATCATTGATCACCACTCTGTGAAAGCAGTCTTTAACCTCCCTGGCGGTATTCCCGAGTGTGGCTCGGGGTTAAATTTCCTAGCTAGGAGCGGTAACCCCGAGCCACACTTGGGAATACCCTGAAATCACACTAACCTTGTCCCTCGATCCCCGCGGCATCTCGGCGTCTCCTTCGCACAATGACAACATCCGTCTCCAGCGTACGCTAACGTCAGCGTCGTAAGGAGGCGGATCCGGCGCGAAATTCAAAAGTGAAACACCACATATTGTGACGTCGGACTTTGTGCTGTCCCCTGTTTCAAAGTTTACCATACCCGAGATGTTTACTGAAGTAATATTGCACCCTTGCTTGGACAGATGTCAGTGTTTTTTGTTTGAATACATTATTTAATTAAATTTATTATTATTATATTACTGTTTTGTGTAATTATTTCTAATTATTTGTTATATTATAATTTATTATTTTGTTTTTCAAACTTTAACATACCCGGGATGTCTACTGGACTCTTGTTTGGTCAGATTTAGGTGAGTTATTCCTAGGATTTACTAAGAACTACAGGCCTACAATGTAAAACAACATATTTGCTTGAAAAACAATGTACCGCTTTTGGTACCTAAAATCCTGAATAATCATACTGCCAGGGAGGTTAAGCCAGTTTTCTATCCAATTACAGATTGAATACTCTATACCTACTGACCTTAACTTATACATTAGCCACATGTGGGGAACTGTCTCAAACACTTTTGCAAAGTCCAAGTATACTATGTCCACAGCCATTCCTCTGTCCAATTTTTCACTCACTTCCTCATGAAAAGAAAGTAGATTTGTTTGATAACTTCTGTCTTTCGTGAATCCATTTGCAGCAATGGATGTAAACAAACAGCAGAACAGTGGCTGTCAGATCAAGGTAAGTATGCACCTGTGAAGGGGGGGGCTAGGTTAGGTCAGGTACACTGATGCTGTGTCAATCTGCAAAGCAGCAAATACTTTCTTGTCTTAAAGAGATAGAGGGGTTGACTTGCTAAAGGCAAATTAGCTGTTCACTTAGCAAATTGACTTTTCACTTTGCCATGGAATTTCCCCTTAGCTTAGTGAATGAGATGAAACTCTGCTGACTTTTATCATCCAATCATGTGTAAGCAAAAATACTGTTATTTTCCTTGCGTTTGATAGGTCACTTTGCAAAGTGAACATGCTCTACTCATTTAATAAATCAACCCCATAGACTAGAGAGACATAATATTGGCCCAGTACAAAGCATTAGTAAGACCTCTTCTTAAATATGCATTTCAGTTTTAAATAACAGTTTGCAAAACATTATGTTGTAGTATTTGAAATAGTAAATTACAGACCAACTAAAGTAATAGAAGACCTCAGCTATGCGGAAGGATTAACTAAAGGTGCAATTACCTTTGGGGATGAGGGAGGTTTTTTTTTTCCTTCTCGGAGCAAATTGTGCCATGATTTGAAAAGATTTTTTTTTACTTTATCTGGTCTGCAGATTTACTATTTTTTTTCTAATTCTATCCTGTGGACAACTGACTTTTTTGCAACTTTACTACTTATTACGTTATTCCTCACACAATATTACAACAAATATCTTTTTTTGCCACCAATTACTTTCAAATCTGTCTTGGAAATTTAAATCTGATTGGTGCTACCTTCAACACAAATTCTGAGTGGACTTTTTGTTATGTCTGTGGTAACGGTGGTAACTCCTAGATAGAATAGTAGATTGATTATACTTGTTGTCTGCAAATGTTTTGTTTTATGGTAAGGGAAAAATTCACATTTTTTACATTGACTGAATATGGAAACATTTCAGGGATAAAGTTAGCTGGAAAAATAATAAACCGATCAGCTCTAAAACAATTTTATTTGCATTTTATAGTTAATAGTTTCCACCTTTTTTCTTAAATTTAAGTTAATGTGGAACATTGTGTGCCCTTTAAATGTAGCAGGGAAAAGGTATTTATTTGAGCAGTTCCAGGTGCTTTTTACTGGAACATTCTGCATTAAACAATACTGCCAAAGACAAACTTGTTTGTTTTTTGAGAAATTCTGGTCACAAATGCAATCGATAGTTTTCCAAATAACTACAATGGCTACATAAAAAAGATTTAAGTTGTTGTACAATCCCAATGATTATTGTCATACAGTTGTCAGCGATTTCTCTGAAATCGTGTTCAATAAACTTAGATCTGATTGAGGGGCAAAGTTTGTAGAGGTATAGCATGCATTTTTTAGATATGCATGTTGTGTGAAAAAAGGAGCCCAGTGGTTGTCCCTGTCAGCTACTCTTTCATATGAGTTATTTGTTTTTACTAAAGCAAGGTCCTTTTTTGCAGTTAGAAAATTAGCACATCAGTTTGCTCTATGACTTGCACAAGTTTAACCTTTTGAAATTTTGATTTTAAGTAACACATGTAAAGTAAAAATTATGGAAGATCTAATAAATTGTATTTTTTCATCCTAGATTACTTGGCCTGTAACGAACACCCGAAGAGATGAATGCAAGTGGGCTGGTAAAGACATTGTTGTAAGTATATGATAGTCTTACATAGTTTAAGCATTATGTTAGATTATTGTTGTTGTGTTTAATGTACACTGTGCTTTTATTATTTCCATTAATCAGCATAATGATTTGACCCACATACATCCAGAATGGTAAAGATTTTTATGGATTCTATCATATGTTTGAATAAACTTTTGTGGTTTTATTGTGTTTATTACGTTAAAATATATCTTTAGCCAAAACACTTAATAGGAAGGGTAAGAATTTCTGTCTAGTTTTTGCTGGTGTCTTTACCTAAACTAGGGTCTTCTCCTTGTTTGGGTCATTGGGACGGGAAGGGAAAGACTGTAGTAATAAATTGAGAGCCTGTAACCTGTCCCCACTCTATAAAAAATCAAATCATATTTCAAGAACCATGGTTTCCTAAATCTCCCAGCGATTCCAGTAGTGAGATCCCTCTGTTTGCGCTAATGGTTATTGCAAGTAATTACTATTCTCCCTGCAGGATTATTTTTATTTTATGAATCATCAACCATAAATAATAATGGTGACATTAAAATAATGACGTATTTGTCTTGTCCAGACCTTCCTTGATTTTTCCTGCTTAGTAGTAATTTTTACACCAGTTTTATTTGTGTAGCCTCAAAATGTATAGCGATTCCTAACATCTCTTTACATTTTGAGGCTAAACATCTCTAAAGTCATGTGATAATTCATAAAAACAGTACAGTTCAGCTTAAATCATTAGAGTAAGGGAATTTGTGAGTACAAGCTATTTACCACTCAGTTTAATGGCTTATTCACGCGCACACACACACAGTTGTTATTAGGCCCTTTTTGTTCCCCTTTAAAAACACAATAAACTTGAGCACATGATTGGTTTAACTCTGCTAATAACCTTCTGTAGGGTAACCTGTCATTACTTTCCTGTTTTATAGATTCTAGTGCTACATTTTGGTCCTCTCTGCACATAACATTACTACATCAGCTCTTTGGTGATAACAGATTTAAAACCTTACGAGCTCTGCAATAGGTATATGAATTTCCTCTGAATAAATTCTGATACTATTTACAACTTCAACACGTTATACATTGCAGAAAAAGCTATGCAGGCTAACTCCTCAAGACTGGGAAGACTTTGAGGAGACTTACAGTATATGTACTTAGTTATCTCCTCAAAAGGCAAGCTAATACAGCTTTAACTTTATCGTCAAATTTCCTACACTTTTATAAAGGCTGTGTAACTTATGTTAATTATTTAACTTTCACTCTCCACTTAGCTTTAAAGGTTGCAATCAAGAGGCATATTTCCTTCATACACTATAGTCCTGTCCTTATATATAATATTCCTGGGACAGGGTGATACTTTTATAAAAATCAGCATTGGGCCTTCCTAATATATCTTGTTTTAGCCCTCATTCACACCTGAACGTTTTGTAGCGTGTTCTACGCTCGACGAACGCTCTACAAAACGCTCAAAAATATAAATCCCATTGTATTCAATGGTCTCGTTCCCACCTTGGCGTATTTCCGCCCGTCCCTAACGCGCTACAAAACGGCCCACGCCTGAAAAGGTACAGGTACTACTTTGGGTCGTTTTGTTGCGCGTTTCCATTGGTATACAGCAAAGTAGCCTTCGGAAACGCGCGTTTGTCGCACAACGACGTCTGTCACGCAAGCGGTTGCGTGACAGACGCACATATGCAATACGCCTAGGTGTGAATGAGACCTTAAGCTGTGTCAGTTGGGGGCTGGTAATCTACAGCTTTCCTTTCACTCCAAAAAATAGGCACTTTTCATTTATGCTAAATAATATCTTCCTCCCCGCACATCACTATATGTATGGCAGCAACTAATAAATTGAGCTCTTCCATTATATCAGCTTACCTCTGCCACCAGGGGCTCTTTGCAGAGTTTTGATAAAATCATGTGTATTGTATAATATTTGATGTAAACAGTTATAAAATAAACTCTCATTTTGTTTATTAAATGCATTGTTTGACTTAACTTGATGGTACAATGTTTTTTGTTTATATATATAAAAAAAAGCATCTTTACTAAAGGCCACATAGGAATGCATGGGATTTTTACTTGACATGCAGTTGTATGTCGTAAAACTGATGTATTTTAGTGCAGGAAAGCTGTAATTGGCGACATGCACTATGCAAGTTTAGACTTTTCTTTTTTTTTGTTTATTTTACACAGCTGTGTTGGTAACACTGATCAAAATGTTTGTTTTTTTGCTTGCTCGTCTTTAAGAGGTTATTACAGTGCCTTAAGTATGTTAAACCTTTTAAATACAAAATACTATTACATATCCATGATGTTTTCCTCATGACACAAGTAGCAAAAGGTTATGTGCATAATGCATTACTGTTAAGACTTCAAGTGCAAAGTTCATTGAGAAACCTTTTTTTCTGCAAATGAAGAAATAGAATATATGTCTTTGATCTCTAGGTCAGAACACAAAACAAATGTCTGACCTTAAGTCTTTATTGTTCCTGTAATAAACCACTAATATGTTAACAAAGAAGAAGACATCTGTTTTACTAACTTGCAAGGTTGACTATTTAAACTATTTAAACTGCCTCAGATAAAGCATAGAATATTTTAATTAGGTGTTATTCTAGTAAAAAACTATGACAAAACTATTAAGGTGTTTTCATTTAGAGTTAGATTGTAACTTTTTTTCCAAATGAATGGTGCATTGGATATTGCCACATGGGTCAGTGGGATAATAAAGCTTACAATCAACATCCATTAGCGATTTTGTTTCATTTTGCCTATGAAGTGTGTTTACATGACTGTTGTGTTGAGTGGGAAGTTTCATTCTTTTTAGTTGCCATGTGTTCTATCTGCTACCAACCTACAGTGAGAGTTGAACTGCAGACAAGCTGCAAGCGAAATATATATATTGGGGCTGTTTTAACTGCTTAAAATATTTGCATTTTTGTCCAACCAATCTTGATGTTTACACAGCCCAATCCTGTCTGGAAGGCCAGGAGACCTGACACTTAGAGCCTTTTTGCTCCCCCAGCCCGTGACTCGTCTCTCTGTAAAGGTGTCCGTACGCATTACAATTATAATACTTTTTTTGATCCGGTCATCGAACCATTGTTCGAATTCCGCACGACTGCCACATCATGCATAGACCGATGTGGATTTCAAGTATCTTTTGTTACATTTTCTTTTGCGCATGTGCAGTGTTCATGTTGTGATGTTTTTCGTACGAAAACACCAATAATCCATCGATTTTCCTATGATTCCAAAAAAGGTTTCTAGCCTGCCCGGTAGATGAAATTTGGCTAGTTGTACAGTAATTGTGATCTTTCACTTCCAATCAACTGGCTGATTATCGTACGAAAACCTCATTTTGTTTGGAAATCGAACGATAATCGCCAGGTATATGGGCACCTTTAATCTGATCTCTCCTTCTATCAGCATTTTCCTTGCTAGCACAAGCACTGAAGCACAACTGATTGGCTCCTAGTGCTGATCTTCCTTCTCCCAGTCTCAGCTGTGCAATGTAGGGCATTGCAAGAGGCTAACACCAAGTCAAAACATGTTCTTATACTTTTTGTTAAAACATAAATTTAATAATGTATTTATGAATACATAGCTGCATTCATTTGTGCCTTTTGTATGTGCCTTAAAGTTCAACATTAATCACAAACAACAGAATTTTTGCATTATGCAGTATAGTTAAAGGTACACATTGACAAACAATAACCATGGCCTCATTTAGCTAGTTTTAGCCAGATTGGCAGTTCCCATCATGTTTAGGCTACAGTAATTGTTATTGATTCCTGTGAATTAAGCTGGTGCCAGACATGTCTGGCTGTGCTCTGCCGTTGTGACTGCATGGACAAAAGTATGCATGCTCAGATGATCCAAAAGCACATGTTTATAAAACGATCTTTTTAAAAGATATTTATTTTTAATATTAATATTATAATGATATAATTGTATTTAGTGCCATGATCCCTAATGCCAATGTACAATACAACAGATATATGGGAGAGTAGTACAAGTAAGAGAATACATCAAATGCTCAAAAGCTAATAAATCTGCTTAGAAAAATGTAGTAATGCTGGAAACAATGTTCTTGAATACAAAGCTATACAATTCAGCAATCTGGACATCCTTTTGTCTGTCTGTGAAGATTCTTATTTATCCAGGTCATAGTATTACTAGTAATGGCCAGTCACATACAACTGTACTTGTTCTGTAATGTTAAAATCTTCCAATCCAATCAAATCTATTTTACTCCAAGGCTTCCCGAGCCTCTCTCTTGTCTTTTAAGGTTCAGCCTTGCCTCCCCAATTCTCCCATTCACACTTTAGTGATCTATTGCTTTAATGAAATAACTGTCCCATATCATACTTAATTACCTGCTAATGTCTATAAGCGGCTAAATGATAGACTTCTATAAACAAACAAACATTGATATTTCCTTTTGGACATAATTTATACGTCAAAAGCATCAACCTCTGACTCGTGTGTTCACATCCTGTAGCCTAGAACCATGGCACAACTGCAATACAGTTTCCTACTAACTTTAAATGATGAAATCATGTAAATAGATGGTCTTAATATTCGGCAGGGATGCAGTTTGGGAATATTTTTCTGAGGGTATATGCACATGAGCATAATACCTATGACTTTGCTACAGTTTCTATAAAGCAATGGAAAAAGCAGAGTAAACACATCAGATAAAAATGCATGTGTACTGTAACTTCTGGGAGAGCGCCTCCATAGTGTAAAAAGATTATTTATTTGGTAAAAGACGCAAGCTAGCTAGCTTAGGTTCTGATGAAGGGGGCGTGACCCTGAAACGCGTAGACCATTCTAACACTCACGGGAGCACAGGACGCTGATTTGGATTTCCCTTCAGACTTTCACTGCTAGCGATTTTATATTTCAACGCTTCCTATATGCTTGTGATCACTGATTATCGTGTAAGTAGAATTTTTTGCTTGCGTGTTTTACCAAATAATCTTTTTACACTATGGAGGCGCTCTGTC